AGAGGAAATGAGAGAGGGACGAGTATTCGGGCGAAAGAAGAAGAGAAAGTGAAATAAAAAAACATTTGATCCGTTTATATCAGATCCGCGTTTTGCAATAAATTAGGGTAAACTACCCTTTTGGTCCCTCGCAGCTTTTAAAGAGTTATTTTGACCCCGAATTTGCTTTTGAATGGTCTCTAATTCTGATTTTCTTTCACTTTAGCCACCTAACTTGTTTTTTTGATTCAATTAATACTTATACTAACCTTTTTTATTTATTCCATATCATGTAATTATATATATCTATATACGTATTTTCTATATATTTCATCCATAACTTAGTGTTAATACATATATATTATTTTAATTAACTTTTTTTTTATCTAGCTACTACTACATCTTATAATTTTATACGTATTTATGTATTTTTATTATTTACCAATCTTACTCATTTTATCTTATATTATATTTCTATTAATATATTTTTTTTGCATTTACATATGTATATACATATATATATATATATATTCATTTTACCTATTATTGATATTTTTCCTTTTAATACTTTAATATATATATATTCTGTTTCATTCATTAATTATTTATTCCATTTTATTTTATTTATTTCCCCTTTTACTTTTTACTATTATTATTATTATTTATTTATGCTATCATATTATATTTTTTATTATTATATACGTATATGATTACTCATTTTTACTTTATTTCTATATATCTTTATGTATTTTTATATTCTACATATATATATATTTTATTATTTTCATCATTATTATTTCATTACTATTTTACTATTATAATTGCTATTTATTATATGTATATACGCATATTTTTTTTTCATTTTCATTGCTTTATATTTTTTTTATTATGTGTATTTTTTTATCCATTTATATTTTATATATTTTCTTTTTTTCTTTATTTGTATTTCGTTTTTTTCCTTTGCATATTTATTTTATATTTAGTCATATTTCATTCTTTTTTTATACATTGTTTTTTTTTATTGTTTCGTCTGTTCGCCCTATTTTTCTATTTTATTACTTCCATTACCTAACCTTTTCCTTGGCTTTTTGAGAGAACTTCAAACAATCAGTGGTAAGCAATTTGGATCAATATTTTACCTTTTTAATTTAACTTTCAATTTTCTTAATTAAAGACAACTGGAAATTACACAGTACCGAAAGGGCAGTTCAAGGGTGCTAGCCCTTCCTTGACTGTAACCGACTCCCGAATCCGACACATCTCTGGTAAGACGCAGATCAGGTAAGAAATAGGGTATCCGATCAACCCATTTATTTTTAAATAAATGATCGGTGGCGACTCCAATCCCCATTTTCCTAAGTCGAAGCCCAATTCCGGGGCCCAACCGAAAGACGGTTCCGACACTATGTATATAAATGTGGGAGTGGGTCACGCAATTTATTGGTAGAGATGTACTTGTGTGACGACATTATATTAATCACACCTACCAAAATGTTTTTTTTAAATAAAGACTAAAATAATTAAAAAAAAATTGACATAGAAAATAATTAAAATTTTAAATATAAATAGTTAAGCTTATTGAATTATATCGAATTGAGATAAAATTGATAGACTATATAATTTTAGAAGTAAGAGTGTAAATGAATCAAGCTTGAATGAGTAAGGTTGTGTCCGTGTCTGTTTTTTTATTTTTAAAGGTATTCAAGTTCAGTTTGTGTAAGCTTATTTATTTTTAAAGGTATTCATGTTTGTTTAGCGTTCGTGTATATGTTCGTAAACATGTTCATTTGCAAGCTAAAAATTGTAAAATTATGCAATTAGTGGTCAAACTCCTTAAGCTTCATAGTTTAAACTCCAAATTTCACCATATGTTTAATTTAGTCTCTACATTCACCAATATTTAAAATATAAAAAATAAAAAGTAAATGAGCTTGTTCATGAACATAAATGAATGAGTCGATAAATAATCTTATTCGCTAATATAAACAAATCAAACACGCTTCTATTCGCGTTCGTTCGAATATTAACATCGGTAACATTGTCGTCGGAGTTGACCCTTGTGCGAGAATATTACACGAGGTCCTTTAAAGGCGATATAATGCCTAAGAGCATGAAATGTTTAAGGGTTTGAAGCCCTCAATAGTTCCAATTCAAGACGATCATGACTCTCGGCGAGACTGGCTTCCACGCTTCTATTCGCGTTCGTTCGAATATTAACATCGGTAACATTGTCGTCGGAGTTGACCCTTGTGCGAGAATATTACACGAGGTCCTTTAAAGGCGATATAATGCCTAAGAGCATGAAATGTTTAAGGGTTTGAAGCCCTCAATAGTTCCAATTCAAGACGATCATGACTCTCGGCGAGACTGGCTTCCATCCTTGATTTATCCTAGAGATTTGAGTTTGCCTCCGTTGTCAATCACTACTATTAGGTAAAGATGGTCCAATATGCCAAGCGTGTGAAAAAAATTAGCCCATTAGACTATCTCTAAAATTAATTGGGATCTATGACAAATGTTACAGTGCATGGTATCATGCCCACATGACAAGTTTGCCCAAATAATATTTTTTTATTTAAACTTGTCATGTCGAGACGACGAATTTCAATAAAATATAATTTTGTATTAGTTTTCGTCGCGTTAGAGTGATAAGTTCTAATAAAAAATATATTTTATTAAAACTCATCACGTCTAGGTGACGAATTCCAAGTCATTGTAACAAATACCGTAGTTCCCAAAATAAAAAATATGGTGTCGTATTGAATTAAATAATTAGCCCGCATACGATATTGGGCCAAAATTGCCCTACTATCACCCTCAACTAGTGCCACAACATCCAAACCATCAACGTTTATTTATCTTTTCCTTAAGTGTGTCCAATCCTTCCCCCTAGTTCATGAGTAACAATAAACTTTTCCATGCTGGAGCAAATGGGCAACATAAGAAGAATATGATTCTATTGAAAATGGTGGGGGTTAATGGGTGGAGGGTTTCAACAATATTTTGGATATTGCAACGAATTACTTCCCCAATCTCTATCAATCATCTAAGGGTGAATCTTCAGGCTTGATAGTCGATGCTCTCGAGACTTTGTAGGGAGTTCTTGGTAGAGCAAGTCAAAGCCATAATTTATGGTCTTTAATTTGGTAATGATATAATTTATTTGTGTCTTAGCCTTCTAAAAGGGCAAACTATAAAGGATAGGGTTAATAAAAGTCATTGTATTGATTCCTAAAGTAGAAAATACTAAGTTATTGAAAAACTTCAGTTCGATTAGCTTGTACTTGATTATTTAAAACCTTGTGTTAAACTCTATTGTTAATTAACTTAAGCACGTCATGCTTGTTTTCACTAATGAAAACAAATGTGCCTTTATTCTCAAGAGGTTAGTCTCCGATATTGCACACCAATTGTTCCACTATTTGAAATGGTTAAAAAATGGACCTAATGAAGGGACTTCTAAGTATGTATGGAAGAGGTATATGACCGTGTTGAATTGAGGTTTTTACATAATGTCATCTTGAAATTGAGATTTGCTAATACAGGAGTCGATCTTATTATGTATTGTGTTACATCAGTATATTATTGCTCGAGGATTAATGATAATGTTTTATATTGTTTCGGTCCGGAAAAGGGATCGACACAAGATGGCCCCTTGTTTCGTACGCATGGTCTTTTAGCATTAATCAATGCTGCGAAGAGAGCTCATCGGTTCTAGGGTGTTTGTGCAAGTCAAAATGGACCATGGGTGAACCACTTCTTTATGCGGATGATACTTTGGTATTCATGAAGAATTCAGAGGCTGAAGCCATGAGATTAAAGGAAATGTTGAGGGTGTATAAAGCTTACTCGGACAAAACAACATTTCGTGAAATATATGGTTTATTGTAGTATTAACATGAGCGAGGTACGCTGACAACATATTATGAATATTCAAGGGGCTCGAGAAAAGCTGATCTGCGTCTATACTTGGTTATGCACTGATTTTTAGTATAAGTTTTTTAATAGTTACACTCGTTACAAATTAGTATTCAATTCAATGCCAGATGCAAAGCATATTCAGAGTGTGTATGTGTCCATCCTAGAATCCGAATTTCTTTATGCGTCCATACGAAAAATTTCAATAATTAATGTGTATGCCCACCTTAAAAATATTTCTGGATCAGCCATTGGTAGTATTTATTCATAATCTTACTACTAACGTCGCTCGGTGAGTTCCAGCGTGATTGGATGATCAAAAGGGTTTTGGGTTGGACAAAAAACTATCTAATGGAGGTAGAGAGTTCATCAAATCTCCCCCGACCTGCCAAACTACATAATGTCTTGCCATTTACTCCTAAATGGATTTCTGATTAAATGATTTTGGAAATGGACTATCGGTGGTCCGATAAGTGGCCTTCGTTTTCCACTCTCTCCTAAATGGATTCCTTGCCTAATGATTTTGGAAATGAAGAACTATTGGTTGTCTGATAAGGTATTAACTTTGCACTATTGGGTAAACGAGTTTGGAGCTTAATTCGAGATACAGGCTCTCTTTGCTGATAGGCACATACATCTGGCTGCTATGTATTTCTCTAATGCCCGACATTTTTATTCAAAGCTTGGGACAAAGGCATCAGTATTTGCATTGACTATTATTTTCAAAGCCATGCAAACGTCGAATGAGGGTTTATTCTGGCGAATAGGTCTTGATAGTCATGTTCGTATGCATGTGTACCAGTGGGGTGGCATTAAACCAATGATTTTGCTAATACATACTTCGATGTACAAGATAAGCCCATTCTGTGAGGGCTTCATGGGGTTGCTCACAAGAGAGGATGAACAACATGTTTTAACCTATCCTATAGCTTCTATCCAAGAAGAAGTGATTGTTTACCGTAATCATTCTACTAAGGTCAAGTTGTTTATATGATCACTAAGGCAATCCACATTTGTTACGTGAACCTATATGTATATATGGATTTGATAGGTACCGTAAGCTCCACAACCAGCAACGCAAAATCATACATGTATATATGGTAATTGCTAAGACATCCGATTGATTCATATGTATAAAGCTTAATACATGCAGACAGTGCTTCTATTTAGATTACCAAGTCCATTAAAAAGACCTATATCGTATTCCTTCTGAGTACCTGGTTTCCGTCAGTTCGGACTATAGAAATTGACGGATAGTGCATTCAGATTGAGAACACCAGTCAATGGCTTAGAGAAGGCCCGGTAGCTGACCCTGCGCAATCAATTTAAGGATGAAGAAGAGTTCAGATTTAAATCATAAGAGGATAGGTGATTGAGAATTCAAAAGAGATACATGCTCTGTCAAATGGTACGATATACTAACCATCTTTTTCTATGTCTGTCGTCTTCCAAACAATTGTATTAACAGTGCAGCACTGATAATAGGACCATACCGTGTGAAATTCCAGGGTATCTCCTCCGGACTTACGAACTTCAACCATGCAAAGTGAAGGAGCCACCTGAAAAACCTGAAAAGGGAAAGATAGATAAGATCATAAACAACTGTTGAAGATTACCGATTAGAAATTTAATCATAAATGATAAAATATTTTTCACTTTTCCACTCAACCATGCAAAGCCTAAGACCGAAACAGGGGTACCTCTGTTGTAACAGCCAAATGGCCCTTGCGTCCAGTTTTTTCTCCCATAAGCTTCATCTGAGATGGGGTAAAAGAAGGGAATTCATCATAAATGAGAAATTGATCAACAATTGATTACTGATTTTATAGTCAAAGTTCTAAAGTGTCTATTTCATCCAACAAGACCCAAGGAAATGGAACACTTCTATTCTATTAGAAAGAACTCGATGCCAAGACAATCTTTACGAAATTAAGTTGGTGACAAGCACCAACAAAAACTGAATCTTGTTCAATCAGTGTTCATCAAATATAGCATCAGTGCTTCACAGAGCAGGCAATAAGAGTCACAAATAAATGATAACATAGATTAACTGTAAATTGAGCAATCAAGTTTCTTGAGAAGATAAAAGTAGTCCAAATGAAGAGGATATGAAGAGATTAAACCTTGTAGTTATTTTTCTTCACACCAAAACCCATGGGCATCACAGCTTCTTCTATTTTCGAGATTATCTCATTAGCAGGACATTTTGATGTAAATCTTGTTTCCTGTTTAACAAGTCCCTGTAGAGAGGAAATTGCAACCACTTTAACATACAAGGATATGCAGTTTGGGAGTTTAACACATATGATCCCAAGACTAGGACAGAAAGAAACATAGTCTATTAGATTTGACAGTCTTTTTGTATGATTGTATCAGTGAATATTCGACTATGCTGCATCAAGTACTAAAACTTCATTTTCAGCAAAAACGAACCAATAAATGATGGGACTATGGGAGATAACAGATGAATTATCAATGACATGTTCATAAAATTTATCTGATGTATCATGTATCTTTCATGGCTACAAACCAAAGGGCTTTCACTTCACTGGAGTAATCGAAATGTGAGATTCTCAAGGGTCCTATTTTCCATCTTTTGCTTAATATATCACATGCTAAGTAACAATAACTAGATTGCATACCATTTGCTTCTCAAATAGACTACCAAGGTTGAGTCCCTGAGATGTTGAGATAAGTTCAAATGCATTCATAGTAGCAGGTGCAACAGACCCTTCTTCACGTCGTTCAACTACAAGGTTTTGAGAATCCTGCAACAAAAATCATGTAAACTCTCTTACCCATCAATCATTGCATGAACACCACAAACATGTCCAATATGTTAAAAAACACAACCCTTACCCCTGATTCATTGAAAATGGCATCTACATCATCAAGACTAACATCAGCTTGCTCAAACATAGGTGGCATATATCCTTTCTTAAACCACTCATTCTCAATAATCTCAGAAATAGTTATCCTCTGGTTCAATCACAAGTAACAAGGAGTGAAAATCAAATCCAAAAACAAAATTAAAGAGAACGTCAAGGCCGACCTTTGGTGCAAATTGAATTAAGAAATAGCACCAGAAAAAAATGGAAAAAGGAGAAAGAATAGGCAAAGGGAAATAGAAAAGAACTTACGGTCAATGGATTAGGATCTAGAATTCTCTTGATTAATTTCTTTGCACTTGAGGAGAACCATGGAGGACAATTGAAGTCAGCCTTAAATATCTGCAGACACAAAATAAACTCCTTGAGAAATCATTTTAAACGCAGAAGACAAAATCATTAATCAAGTGGAAGATGGTTGATCAGCAATATACAGCATGTTGTTGAGCATAGATACAAAGTACAAACACAGCAGACATCTGTTTTCCTGAACTTATTTGTAAGCACATGAACTTTTATTATTGATGTTTCCAAGGTACTGTCCTACCTGGCTGAGTTAAAAATACCTCCATGGAGAAATGATAGTTTGCCAAGCCAACTACCAAAGATAACTAACATTTTCAATATTTCAATTTATATATATTTGAAAAATCATTTTATTCTTTAAAAGTAATAATATTGATGGACACTGGTTAACAAAAGGAATATAGGGTCCAGATAAATATTTACCAGGAGAAATTGATCATTTCCAGAATATCACATCATTTGATTCTTCAATTAATATGTCAATGGTGATTTTATAAGACATAATAGTTTAGCAAGAATGTTCACTTTGAAGTAAAAGAAAAATAACTTTGAAAGAAATTGAGAAAACAACCACCTTCTTGTATAAACCCATTAAATTGGGGTCCTCAAAAGGCAAGTAGCCGGCCATTAAGACAAAGAGTATCACACCACATGACCAAAGATCAGACTTAGCTCCATTATAGCCTTTATCGTTGATCACCTAAAGAGAGATGGAACAAAACAATAAAGAAAAGGTAATGGAGTATTAAGAAACGGAATTTTGTTCGCAAAAAGAATAATGCAAATATACCTCTGGAGCAACATAATTTGGTGTTCCGCAGGTTGTGTGAAGTAACCCATCATCCCTATATGAAAAGGATAAGATAGTTTTGAATTGTCTTGTCAGTGCATTACAAAAAGTTGCATGCTAAACAGCCATCCACCGATGTGGTAGGCAATGGAAAATCAACTATAATGAACTTTTGGGGTCTGTCATCTTCTTTTGCTGACCACAAATTTCTAGCGCTCAAACAAGACAAAAATCACACATGCAAAGGGGTAAAGTGTAGTATGGTAAAGTGTGGTATAATACAATAAAGAGCAAGCAGCCATAAAAGTGCTTCACAGGGAATATAAAATCTTGGGAGAATATTATCATTGAGGAGAGAGAGATTATAAGACATAAAGCAGCACACTCACTCCAACTTGCTGAGGTAAAGCACTCAAACCAAAGTCTGAAACTTTAAGAACTCCATTAGCATCCAGCAGCAAATTCTCTGGCTGTAAAATACAAAACACAGCTCTGCTGCATAAATTTACACATTTAACTGTTTTAGACAATGGGGCAATGAACTTAAAAAAATATCCCACACCTTCAGGTCTCGATGGTAAACACCTCTGCTATGGCAATAATCTACAGCATTAATAAGCTGTTGAAAGTATTTTCTAGCTTCATCTTCCTTAAACCTCCCTCTGCTAGCCTGGCACAAGAAGATAAGCAGGACACAATGCCAGATTACTATATGGCACTCAATTGCTGATGAACAATTGCGAGTTTATTCCTAGTTGCACTTTTACTTTTCCCAAAGTAAAACATAAAACTATACGTTTGTGTTCTTACAATTTTGCCAAAAAGTTCACCACCAGTTACAAATTCCAGGACAATGTATATCTTTGTCTTGCTAGCCATCACCTGTACCAATAACGTTGCTAGAAGTTACAAAGCCGAGTCCACTTCTTACAAACAGTAGAGATTCAAAAGTGAGCAAATACAATATACAAGGAAGAAATGCATGAGAGAAATTAAACAACAAGATACCCAAAGAAAAGCTTTGTAACAAACCTCGTACATTCGGATGACATTTGGGTGTCTAATGAGTTTCATTGTTGAGATTTCACGTTTAATCTGCAAACAACAAAGAAAAAGGAACGATGCAGCACATGCAAGGAAAAACAGAAATGAGATTCAGATGGGGGGGGGGGGGGGAAGAAAGATTGACATCCAAGTGTCGCACTGAATAAGGAGAAAAATCGATGAGTGTGTAATAATTCAAAAATAATTTTTTTACATGAATAATTTCAAAACCTGGAGATTGAAACATTGTTGAAAATATCACCCATCTTTCATTGACTTATAAGTCGAACTGTACCTTCTTTTACAAGCTAATCCCCAGAAATATCTAAAAGTTGCAGATTTTGAAACACAGGATCATCTTTTTTATTCTAAAATAAGTTATACAGGACCAAAGTTAGATTTGACTCATTTTTCGACATACCCATTTGTCTACTAAATCATGAACACATCACTAAATCATCTCATTCTCACGATTCCTAATTGAATCATTAGAAAAAGGACGAAAAGAGGTCCGTTAGCAAACAAAATAAATAAAAACAATCAACTGTCACAAATCGACATCACAAATCATGTTTAGGATCCTGATCAAGACAAAGCTAAAGCAATTAATCTGAACCAGGAACAGGAAAATAATCCAAGTAACTGATTATCAGTAACTAGTAAAAGAAACCAACCAAACAGTTAAACATTACAAAAGAGAATTCAAATCAACATAAAATTAAGATTCCGTATAAAGAAAAAAAATCCACAAATCAAATCGAGTCAATTAGCGCAGTAACATTCCGTACAAGAGTTTTTATTTTCCTTTTTTGAAAAAGTACCTGGCCGATCATCTTATGCTTCATGACTTTCTCTTTATCAACAATTTTGATTGCTACATTCTCACCTGTCTCGAGATTCCTCGCAAATTTCACCTTCGCGAATGATCCTTCTCCCAGCGTCCTCCCTAGTTCGTACTTCCCCACACGTGTCTTGCTCGATGCACTCGTGCGATTCGCCATCTCTTTCTCCGATATTCCTTTCTTTTTTTTCTCTCTTAAATTTCTTTTTCGAAAAAGAAAAACACCTTTCTTCTCTGTTTCTCCTAAAGCTTGCAATTAATCAAACACCTCTTCTTCTTGCATGGCTGCCATACCCGAGACTTCGCAACCCTCATTTTCTCTCTCTCTAATAACACGAATTCAAGAACTCAAACTCCTATTTGTAAAGATCAAAACCGGAAAATCTTTACAACTCAATTATGGAGGGAGTAATGTTGGGGAGAAAGAGAGCAGAATCAGTGGGCGAGGAATCAAACATGGGATTAATCATCAGCTGAGAATCGTCTCAAGAGATTTGAAATAAATCCTTTTCGATCTGTGCGTTACCAAATTTTTACTTCGAATCGTTCTACCTAAACAATCTCTTCTTTCCCATGACGAATTCCATCTGCAGGAAAATTTAAAGGAGATTAGCGTAGAAAAATCAACTCAGGGAAGTACAAGGACTGGTTGAAAATTAATTAAAAAAAAGTAAATAATGGAGGAGATTGATATTATTATTTAAATAAGAATTTGTTTGATGTATGATTTGATTTTTAAATATAGTTGCAGAGATATTTAATATAAAAACCTTTATTATTAAAATATTATTAATATATTTATTATTATTAATAATAATATATTTAATTTTATTTTATGTTTAGCAGTATTTTAAATTTTCCTTAAAAGCAGTACCTTAAAATTTCCTAGAAAGACGACTGTGGAGTTGGCAACTCTATAGATAAAAATAATAATTGTTTAATATAAAAATAAATGTCTAAAAAATACCTTAAAAAATATTTTAGTGTCTAAATATTTTTTTATTAAAAATATGTATATAAAGTTTTCTCTGTTATATTTTTATGTTTCTATTGTTAAAAAATTATTAAATGACACATGTCAAGCTATATTTTAAAAAAAATAAAAAAATAATTTAAAAATAATTTTTAAATTTAGACGCGACACGTGTTATTTAACCATTAATTTAACGATATGCACCTAAAAGTGTAATGAAAAAAACTTTAGCCACCTATTTTTAATAAAAAATTCTTTAGATACCAAAAATTAATTTTGAATATAATAGGTGTTTTAAAAAATTTAGGCTTAATACAAAAATAATTGACTACGCTATACTTAAAATTAATTGTTGGTGTCTAAAGAATTTTTTATTAAAAATAAGGGTGAAACTAGAAATTTATTATAGTATTGTTAAAATATTTTTGTTCTTCATAAATACAATTCTTTTTAATTGAGGAGTGCGAGATAAAATTTTCTTTATTTATTTTTTAAATATATATATATCTATTTATTATTAATTAATATTAAAAAAATAATTGACGACCCCGTAAAATTTTACCTCTAATGTGTCTATTGTTTTCTCTATTAAGTTTTTTAATTAAATACTTCAGGCCCTATTAAACCTAAATAATAAAATTAATTTGAACAGCGTTTAATTGACGCTGACCTTGGCATATATAATATTAGAACTTAGAAGTATACTGCTTAGCTTTCAGCCTTCCACGATTTAATCTTCAGAATATTCCTCTATGTTTGGAGGGCTGAGATTTAATCTTTGGAATATTCCTCTATGTTTGGTGTTGACCGTTTTATTTACCCACCATAAATACAAATACAGTCACTGTCGCAGATATATTTGATAGAGAAAATTAACCTCAGTGACCAAAAATCCCATATAATATACGATTTTAACCAACTTTTTCCGGATTTGCCAAAATGACCAACAAAATCGCAATGCGATCGCTAATTCGCAACGCGATCTCCATTATCGCAAATTCGCGTTGCATTTTCGCAATGCGATAGTTGAAAATCGCGTTGCGATGGTCTACAGTATCGTTGCGATTTTCCCAATTCGCAATGCGAATAAGTAAATCGCAACGCGAATTGGGAAATTCGCAATGCGAATAAGTAAATCGCAATGCGATACTGACTATCGCAATGCGATAATAAAAAATCGCAACGAGATACTTACTTTCGCAACGCGATACTGACTTTCGCAACGCGATAATACATAATCGCAATGCGATTTTCAAAGCGCCATTAGTATCCTGGCCAAGTATTTTATTTTTAAATTCCAAACATGAATATAAATATATTGGAACACTGAACTGTCCACAGTATATCCCGTAATCGCAACTCATAACCTAAAACCTAAAATCACAACTCAGTCCCATCTCCATCTCTCACTCTCTCACCCATCTCCGACGAAATCCGTCCCCATCTCCGGCGAAATCCGTCTATCTAAATCTCTCAGAGCCACCCCTCACAATCAGAAATGGAAAATCAACCAAATCAACCAACGAGGGTTAGTTTTTTTAATTATTTTCTTTTTGAAATTTTTGCATTATTATTAGGTTTTTCATATTGAAATTGATGATAGGTTTACTGGTAATTTCAATAATAGATTAACCATTTCACTTAGATTGCTTATTAAATCAACCAAGAATCGCAACGCGAAATGCAATCGCAACGCGATTTTAGTTTCGCGTTGCGATTCTCTCGTTGCGATAGTCATTTTCGTATTGCGATTTTCATTTTCAGAAACTATTCTTCTTCTGCAAATTGAAACTTGAATGAATTGCATTACTTCAACCAAAAAACAAAGACAAATACGAAATTCACAGTGTTGCATATTTAAGTTTGAAGAATAAACTACTACTATTTATGTTTATTAATGTTTTTTGTATATCTTCACAGTGTAGTTTTTGGTATATAATTTAGTATGTTTATTGTTTTTGTAGAACTTTTATTCGGCTCAATTGACCTTGAGAAATAAAGTCAGCCTGGCCAAAACAATTGCGTCGAAGCTTTCACCTGCACAAAGAAAAATGTTGAGGATACATGCTTCGGGCCATGGCTGAAAGTACAACATCCTGGTGGGAGATGCGATGTTGACACACCTGTTTCTTCAAACCATAACTAGAGATCTACCAGACTATACAACGTCGTGATGAAGAGATATGGTTTGATTTTCCACCGGCGTATACGTGTTTTGGGCGGGAGGAGTTTTGCTTAATCGGTCTACGCTTCGGACACGATGATGTAGGTCGGTACACTAGACACATTACCCGCCCATCATGGCTATCCGGGTTTTTCATGAGCTGGAGAGGCCGAGTCTACACGTAGAAGACCTGACAAGATTTTTGAATAATAAAGATGGTTTTACTCGGATGGATGACGTCGACGTTTGTCCGAGTATGCCTTCTAATTCTTTTGCATGCCGGCTTTTTAGGCAGAGAGGCCAGACAACCTATTCCAAATGATCTAATCAAATTGGTAGAAGACCTAAATGCGTGGAACCTGTTTCCGTGGGGCTCGTATTTATGGAAAGCTACATGGAATAAGTTATCGTCTGCCTTGGATGATCGAAAAAGTTTGCATGGCGATGGTTCCAAATACACTTTGACAGGCTTTATTTGGGCCTTTAAGGTAAGAATTTTTATATAATGTTTCCAAAATTATAAGTAATTATTTAACAATTACTAATGTTTGTTATTATATTGTTTGTAGATTTGGATATTGAGGCCTTTCCCGCCATGAAGACATATGCAATAAAAACTTCAAATAATTCCCAGGGCTATTTCCTGGAAGAGGAAACGAACCTTGCAATGGAAGATTTACTACGGTATACGACAATAAATAATGTAAGTTAACATAAATACTACCATATGTTTATAAACAAGTATTACTAGTACACATTTAACTTTGTTTAAGCTTTTATATTGTTAGGAGGCCAACATCCTCTACAGAGGCTGACACCCACGGAAGCTGAGCTTGCCACTGATTGGTGGCAAGCTAGTAAGCGTTTTTTTGATGGAACGGTTGATGAGCAGCCTCCACTTCGGGAGCCATCACCTCGCCCAGAGCTATCACCTCACCTAGAGCCATCATCTGATCGACCCGGCTATACACCTCCACAACGACAGCCATCACCTATTCTTTCACATCATCGAGCCTCTTCTCCACCATCACCGCAAGATAGGCGACCGGCAAAGATGTCACGACGTTTATCTCCCTGTTCTCCACCTCCACCTCAACGGGATGAGTTAGGGGAGTTACGTGATGAGGTCAATGCCTTGCGTGAGGAGGTCGGTACTTTACGCAAAGACGATGGTGCATGGCGTGTTGAGGTGTCTACATTACGCGGTGAGGTAGCCGCTCTACGTGAGATGGTAGCATCGTTGCAGAATGAGGTTCATACTCTACTCAACGAGGTAGTTTAAGATTTTTCATACTCGTAATTCATTCGGTGCTGCCAATCTGTTTTGTTAGTATTTGTTTTTTGTTTTGTTTTTGTCTTTTGGTTGAAGTAATGCAATCCATTCAAGTTTCAATTTGCAGAAGAAGAATAGTTTACTTTCGCAACACGAAAATGACTATCGCAATGCGGAAATGGCTATCGCAATGCGAAATGAAAATCGCAACGACAAAATCGCAACGCGAAATGAAATCGCAACGACAAATCGCAACGCGAAATGAAATCGCAATGCGATTTGTGTTTCGCGTTGCGATTTTGTCGTTGCGATTTCATTTCGCGTTGCGATTTTGTCGTTGCGATTTTCATTTCGCATTGCGATAGCCATTTCCGCGTTGCGATAGTCATTTCGCGTTGCGATTTTAAGTTCGTGTTGCGAAAGTAAACTATTCTTCTTCTGGAATGTTTTATATGTTGTCCTTTTAAATGTTTATATAAGTGCTTACTTCTGGAATGTTATCTGAGCATTTTGTGAACTATATAGAATAATGATTTGGGTGAATACATGCTAGTTTGAAACATATTTTTCTTTGTTTAATATCATGTCTGTTTATTTACTGATTTATGTATTAATTTTTTTTAGCGGCCCGATAAGGTGGATGCTTTACGTCGGGTTTTCCTTGCACGACGGAGTTCACGCATCAGACGGCGTGGACGTGCTATTACGTCTCCGTTCACCCCAATGGTGCGAAGATCCGCAAGAAGAAGCCCGACTCACCGGTCATCCCTCAAGAGTCCCCTCCAATCGTTCAAGAGGCCCCTATTCTCCCTCAAGATTCCCCCCCCACCGTTCAAGAGGCCACTGTCATCGTTGAAGAGGTCCCTCCCACCATTCCAGAGCCCGATTCACATGGGGTAATATATCGAAGTATTGAGAAACCCCCACCGGTTCCGGACATGATGGATGAGAGTTGGCTCTCGTATGAGTTACCGGCTAGTACCCTTCCGGTATCTGAAGTGAGATGAGACAACTACCGGAAACAATTGTGGATATACCCTTTGGGCTAAGACCGCAGTTGATTTTTATCTACATGAGCGGAGCCAAGGGTGTTACACTGACATCAGCAAACTCAACGATGAAATGTTTTTGTTGCTTGATCGGTCTTGGTGGGGTGTGCTATTAGGGGTTGAAGACAGTGGCTATTTGGA